ATGAGTAGCCATGGAGGGCAGTGCAAGTCCTGAAAATCAGTTCTACACTAAGAGGGCTAGTAATAACATGGAAGTAACTGTGAATCTCACTCACATATCCTTCTAAACTCAGTCTAAATATAGCCCCCTCCTCCCCTTATTCAATCTAAATGCAGCTCAACTTCCCTTCAGCCAGATCCCAAAAATGCCTACAGCAACTCCAAAACCATCCCTACACAGAAGAAAATGAAATAGAGAAGACTTCCTAATGGAAAGAGACAACAAACTTAGCCAGTTATGGTTAAAATGCCTTATTTTTAATATTTATATAACCATGGGGACATATTGCTAGGACTCCTTCCAGGACCTTGGAAGTGGGACCCTAAAGTTTGAGCTACCTTAGCCTCAAGGTTAACTGCCTCTGACAAAAGCAATAAAATTTCGAAAACAAATTAATGTCTGTAAACGGCTTGTCAGACTAGAGAAAGTTGAAACTTGAGCTAGAAGCAGGGGAATCCTAGAAGCAAGTTGAATTCCCACTACAGATCCTCAGCTAAGGTCAGGAAACGGAAGCTCCAGGTATTTCTGAAAAGTGGTGTAAATGCTGATCTGAAAATAAGAGGACTGAGTGTGAAACATTTACTAGAGAGAAGATGCTCTATACACCACCTCCTACCCACCTCTCTCCAACCCTACTAGACTCATTGCTTTCAACATCTTACTTCTCATTCATTTTCCTTTTTGATTTTTAAATAAAATTTTTTTTAATCAAAGTAAAATTAGCAGCCAAATCTCCAGCCTTCCATTTCCAACTTGTACAACAGGACAAGTACCAATACCCCCATTTCAGCAGAAGACTGGAGGTTTCCTGGAGGCTAAATCAGAGGGCTCTTTGGGACACCTGGTTGAGCTGAGAGTATGTATGTGGGGATCCCTATTATTGTGATTCAGTCAAATATAAATACTGAGTGGTAAGATTCTCCCTACTTCTCTTCCCTGCTATTCCTTGATTCACTTGGGAAAATACTAGAAGACAGACAAGAGATTTTGGAATTCCCATCTAGTGAAATTGACCAGCCTAGGAATAGAGATCTCCAGATATTGACATTTTGGGTCCTCCAACAAAAGAACACAGCCTGATCACCCAGCACCCTTCCATTGACAAGCTCCCCACAGAGTTTTAATTAGCTTTCAGTGTCTCTGTCTGAAATATGAATAGGCATCCAGAGATCCCACATGCCTTGGAGCAACTAAGCCCGTGCGCCACAACTACTGAGTCTGCGTGCTGCAACTACTGAAGCCTGCGTGCCTAGAGCCTGTGCTCCGCAACAAGAGAAGACACCGCAATGAGAAGCCCGCACACCGCAACGAAGAGTAGCCCCTGCTCACTGCAACTAGAGAAAGCCCACGCGCAGCAACGAAGACCCAGTGCAGCCAAAAATAAATAAATAAATAAAAAAGAAAAGGAACACCAATAAGATTTCAAAGTGGTTGGGAGGATTAGAGGGTCAGTGAGACTCGGAGGACTGATGCTCTTCCCTGCGAGTTTTCTACTATTTGATTTTTTTAAACCATATGCATGTATTAATTTTATTAAAAATAATTTTATTTTACAATCAAAAAGGAACGTGAATGGTAACATGGAAAGTGAGATAATAAAAGTAGTGAATATAATAGAGTTAAAGATAGAGGTGGTGGGAGAGTGAAGCATTTACCATAATACTTTTTAAAAAATATATGTATTTATTTATTTGGTTTCATGGGGTTTTAGTTGCCGCAGGTGGGCTCCTTAGTTGCAGCATGCATGTGGGATCTAGTTCCCTGACCAGGGATCGAACCCATGCCCCCTGCACGGGGGGCGTGGAGTCTTATTCACTGTGCCACCAGGGAAGTCCCTTACCATAATTCTCTTTACACACATGAAGCTCTTTAATCCTTCCAATGACTGAAAGAAATATCACTATACCATTTTAGAGATGAGGAAGCTGAGGCTCCAGGAAGTTAAAGGAACTTGCCCAAAGTCACACAGCTAGGAACTGGCAGAATTAAGGCTGAACCCAAGTCTGTCTGGTTCCAAAGCTCAACCATGTTCCATTACATAGTTTTGAATGTTGGCAAACAAGAGAAGAGAGAGATCCTGGGACCTAGTATGAGGGGTAGACAGTGAGTTTTTGGTAGAGGAAACACATAAATATTAAGGTAAGTTTCAAGTGAAGAGTCATCAGAGGGAAAG